TTGTATTTTGTGAGTGATACAAATTTAGACTTTGGTACTTGTGCTGCTTGTTTTTTTGTGTGTTTGTGTTTAATGCAGCTGGAGGTTATTATGTAAAATGAGTTTGTTTGAATCTTTAAAGGAGCTGCCAACTTGCATTTGCCTGATTTACTTCAGCAGTGGAGGAGAGGAAGAATTCCAAACACGTCATCCTGATTTCACAAGTCTGCAGAGGTCTCCAAAGTGGACTTGTCCATCTGTGTTAGGTAGTAAATAGCACTCTACTTTTGTTACATGCAAATGCCTCTGTATGTGCACTCCCTCTCTGTATACAAGTAATCTGTAGATCCTATCTGTCTAGACATGTGTGCATACACTTTCTGGACTTAAGCCACTGAACACTAATTACGTATAAAGTATCTAAGTGTTCACACAGGCATACAAGACACAAAGAAATTTAGTTATTTTTCTTTTGAAATAATACAAACAGTAAATAATAGTTGAGCAAATAAAACTTGCAGTTCAATTTTTGTTTCAGTTCACAATGCTATTACATGGCCCTTGAAAACTGTGGAGTAAGAATGCAATGATAAATAAAAGACAATCCATCTTGTTTTCATTAAGGGACTAGTTTCTTACTACACTGCTGAAAGAGATGTCTTGATTTGCATTTGGATATAAAGATTCCTTATTCTCAAAATAAACTCAGTGTAATAATTGGGGTTGTAATTTTTATTGAAGGTGAGTGCTGGCTTCCAGTTCTCAGATGTTAATACTAATTTTGATCCTAAGAAAAATTGCTATGCTAATTATCAATATATAACTTTTTACATTTTTAGGAGCATTTCTTAATGAATGTTGAAGAGAATGACTTTCTGTAACTTCCTTGCATTGCACTGGAATTCCATGGTAGATGTAGCAGTAGCATTCAGTTCCCTAGACAGCATCCATCCACCTTAATCATGAAACTGCCTCTTCTTTCATTTTCCTTTTCTATTAATTACAGTTTTGGTTGTTTGGTGGGTTTTTTGTTTTGTTTTTTTTTTGTTGTTGTTTGGGTTTTGTTTTGTTTTTAAGTTCTGGAACAAATTAAAGCAGAGTGCTATAAACAAATGACTTCTTAATTAATAACCTTGATTTAGTTCCAGTGCATAGCTTGTATTTTGATGTATATGAAACATAGTGGCCAAATACTGTATAATGCAGTACAGCACTGGATTAAGAGTATTTTTAGGCATAGGTGGATTTTGTGATCCTACCACTTGAAGTCATGGTATAATGCCTGTCTTCTACATCATAGAAGCTCTTGCTACTTTGAATGTTCCTTGCATCACAAAGTTGTAGTTCAGCCTATGTTCCTCTGCCACTCTCTTATCCTTCCCCAGTGGCTGTAATTCTGTAATTGCTTGATCTGACCAACAGCATTTGAAGTCAAAATGAATGACATCTTTATCTCACATTTCCTTGAACATACGATAGTTTTCTCTGTTACAGCAGATAATTGTTATTGTATTTGCAGTAGTTCCTTGTATGTATTTAAGCATTGGAAATGTTTTTGTATTTCTAGAGTCCTGTGTGGTTGGCAAAAACTGACAGTTGCAGTTATAATTGTAGCACAGGTGCAGAACTTACCTTCTCTCTAATGTTCTTCCAAAGCAGAAAAAATATTGCATATGAACATTATTAATTCACTAAATATTCAGTGACAGTACTTACCTCATAGTTATACACATTCCTCCCAAAAATCTATTTTTATTGTGTTCACCCATCCTGAAGTGGCAAAAGGCAGGAGGGAAGGGAAAAGGAGGCTTTGCTTGCTCAAATCTTGACTTCAAAAACGATGAAGAAAATAACCCTAGTGTCTGGGTTTCCAAACCAAGGCACCAGGACAGCCAGCTGGTGGTAATTTCTAAGCAGCTGTAGTGGATGTTGTTCACAGTTCTCTGCTTTGACAGTTTTTATGCTTTGTTGTTCAATTTTGTGCATGAATCCACTGGCATCATCTTCATTGTGGGAGAGCATTTCCCTTTCTAAAGAGTTTCTGTGGAATCTCCTGCAGCACACAGAAATTGTGCTGTACCTTTCAGCTGGGTCCTACAAATTAAAGCCTCCTAGTGTAGCCAAAGCACATTCTCTTTGTTGTTGTTTTGCACTCTGTACCCATGAAGGGTCCTGGGCTTAGTTTTTAAAGGAATAATTATACTATTTAAATATTAAACATCAAAGTTCTTCTTTTGTTGTTAAAATGATATTAAAGTAGGACAAAACCGATTTGCAGTTTATGGTATTGCATTCCAGAATTGCTGGCGTTGCAGCTGATGTCCTGTTTCAGCAATATTGGCACTGCCAGGAGGCTCAGAAATGCAGACTTTAATCAAAAACTTTGAGATACACTTCAGTTAAATTGCAAATTAATCTTTCCTTGTGAACTTCCAAGCTGTTAAAAAGAGCAAATGGCTGCAGCTTCCTTTAAAATAATTCAAAAGCCTGCTTTTCATCAGCATATGATTTCAGTATAGTAGAAGTAAAGGCTGTGTGTCTTTTTCTCACAGATTGTTATTTAAGCACTATATATTAGCTTTCATTGCCCTTTTGATATATTTAAGCTCATAAACTTCTCATTGAACAGATTAAATTTACCATTATGTTGTTACTTTTTATGAATAGAATAAATCAATATCAGATATGTTGGTTTGCACTGAACTGTTTATTTTAAGGGATGTTTAAACTTTACTGAAAGAAAATAGAAGGTCTGATGCCCAGTCCTCCACTTTAAAATTCTTTATTTGGTAACACTTTGAGATACAGCCTGTCTCAACCAGCAAGTGCCACACATATCATCCAGTGATACAAGGCAAATAAAATTCCCTAACGTTCTTTGAAATGTAATATATTTTGCACTATTCCCAATATCTAGTATTTAAGTACTTGCAAGTTGTTTTGTTATTGTAATAGAAAGCTTTCATTTCATTATTAGGGAAATATTCCAGAGTAAGACTAGTATTTTTTTTTTCACTGAAAAATATTAACTCTGTGCTGAAAATGTCTGTCTGATATCTCATATATATACATATATAAGAAAATAATAAATTCTTTCAAAAGACACAGTCCTCAATCAGAAATCAAATGCTAGCAGGTCAATGAAAACTGCCTTCTAAAATGTATTGCTCAATTCTTAATATTTATGGTAGCCACAAAACTTGAAAACACCTGTTCTGCAGAGAAGTAGCTCTTTAAAATACACTCCAGCAGCAAGAGCTCTCTCTGAATTCAGAGTCAGAACTTTGCTTTGCAGGGGTTAAGTGAGCAGCCATGATTCCCAAAAAGTGATAAAAAATGTTTAGTTCTTTTAATTGTGAGGAAACAGGAGCTTATTTCACTTTAAGGCTGTAATCCTCAAATAGTCTGTACAAACCAGCTGACTTTGTCTACAGATCTGAAGTGTTCAGAAATATCATTGCGTTTATTTTGTCTTTGAATTTTTGCTTTTTTGATTGTTTAATGTATGTTTATTATTGTTAGTCAGGTGAAGTTCCACATAGACAATTGCAAAAGTATGTACAGTGGATATAAAAACTTGGAAAGTACTTATATCAGTATAATCATGTAATAACAGCCCAGACTTTGTGCTTGATAGAGGTATTTTGTTCGGATGCAGTGTTGCTTCTGTAGGCATTTCCTCACCAATAATATATGCAGTACAATCTTTAGGATTGTATTAAATAGCTAATTAAATGGGGTCAGCTTAACCTTTCTTGATGATTAGGAATAGGCATCTCATCCACTGGAAAAGCTAATTGTTTTGGGTGGAGCATCTTGTTCTTGTTTGAATCATGATCTCTGTTTACATTCACACAGCATTCATCACTTGCACCTTTTGGAAAAAAAGGGGGTGTGCCCAGAGCAGTTTTTCAAATGCTGTATAGGTAAGTTATAGAGGAGGATGCATTTCCCTTCATTCCTCTCTATGAGCAAAATAGGAAGACATTTTGAATTCATAATGCAGAATAAAAGCTGTATTTGCAAAGTACACAAAGAACTGTAGTTTGTTTTCAAATAACTTTTAAAGGCGAGTCCTCCAGGCTCATCAGCTGAACCGTCTTGTTCCTCTGTGAGCATTCTTCAGCAATAGCACTGCAGTATTTTCCTGGTAATTTTCATTCTTTTCCAATTATTATTGTTATTATTTTATAACTGTTTGTCTTTCTTCTGTGGGCTGTTCATTTTTTTGCATGCTAGTGAAAGCTTCTTGGTCATTTTCCCTGTCCTTCCCTCAGTCTGATATTTTCTGCCAGCTTTTCTTGCCCTAATGCCTTTTATTTGCTTGTTTGTTTGCTTTCCTGCAATGGCTAGATCTTAGAATCATAGAATCGTAGAATAGTTGGGGTTGGAAAAGACCTTAAGATCATCTAGTTCCAACCCCTCTGCCATGGGCAGGGACACACACTAAACCATCTCACCCAAGGCTTTGTCCAACCTGGCCTTGAACACCACCAGGGATGGAGCGTTCACAGCTTCCCTGGGCAATCTATTCCAGTGCCTCACCACCCTTACAGTAAAGAACTTCTTCCTTATATCCAATCTAAACTTCCCCTGTTTAAGTTTTAACCCGTTACCCCTTGTCCTGACACTACAGACCCTAATGAAATAGTCCCATCCCCGGCATCCCTATAGGCCCCCTTCAGATACTGGAAGGCTGCTATGAGGTTTCCACGCAGCCTTCTCCAGGCTGAACAGCCCCAACTTCCTCAGCCTGTCTTCATACGGGAGGTGCTCCAGTCCCCTGATCATCCTCGTGGCCTTCTCTAGACTTGTTCCAACAGTTCCATGTCCTTTTTATGTTAAGGACACCAGAACTGCACACAATGCTCCAAGTGAGGTCTCACAAGAGCAGAGTAGAGGGGCAGGATCACCTCCTTCAACCTGCTGGTCACGCTCCTTTTGATGCAGCCCAGGATATGGTTGGCTTTCTGGGCTGCAAGTGCACACTACTGGCTCATGTTCATTTTCTCATCGATCTTGCCTTGGTACAACCATTGCTTTTATTGCTCTTGGAGGAGTGCATCTATTCAAATGCTCCGTATGTTGTGGCTTCTGTCATCAAGGTTGGAAAGACCAAAAGGAGAGACTGCAGAGTGACCTTCTGGCAGTTTTTCTGTCTTCCCTCCACTCTGCATTTGAGACTTAGGAGTTCTTCTGATCCTTCTTTGGGAAGGACTCTATAGCTCACTCAGAAGTGTTCATACTGAAGTCTGGTTTATTTTGATCATGAAATGTCATTATGGTTATAAACTGCTGCTTTTCAGGAACAAAATGGTGTGATTATGGGTGATCTGTGAGCTCAGTGTTCCATCGTCCAGAGAGCAAGTAGCATACAAGGAATTACTAGAAAAGAAATAGAGAAAAAAACATGAGGAACTTTCTGATACTGCTATAAAACCATCATATATCTGCATCTTGAGTCCTGTGTGCCTTAAAAAGGATGTTAAAACAACAAAAGCTGTAGAGAAGGGCAACAAATGCAATCAAAGATACAGCAGATGTAGTGATTGTGAACCATATCTGTGTTCCTTCTACAAAAGGCCTTGAAGCCATTTAAAGTTATAACTTTTATGCTATTCATTTTCTGATTAAAATAATCTTCTGTAAGTGATTTTATGATACATATAAATATTATGTTTAGCAGTCTTCATGGGTGAAGTAAGGCTTTTCTCGTAGGCAAGGGGAAGGCTATGCATGCAAATTTGGATTCCTAATGCGTTTCTACTAACTCTGCACTTACACTCCAACAGAATTAAGGAAACCTGTATTTTTAATATCTTCTTTTTTATCTGTTTCTTTATCTTCTCATTTCATTTCTTGCTTCCTTATCTTTCTCTTTATTTTCTTTTTCTGTGGGTATATTTTTGGCTGCATTTTTCTCTTGCATTTGTTTCCTTTGCCTTGAACTTTCTCCCAAATGCCTCAGTTTTGTTCTTTTTATCTGGACCTGCATATACACATTGAATCATCATTTTGCTCTCCTTCCATTTCTACTTCCTTTCCTCTTCTACTCCAGTATTTATATTTTCCCCTTTCCTCCCTCATGTTCCCATTTTTCCTCACCATTTGTTGATGTCTCTCTTTCCCATGTACTTTCCTGTCTTTCTCTAGGTATTTGGTACTTTAGCTCGGGAGGAAGGACTAAAGAGGGACTTGGGCCTTGAACTTTTTCTTGATACTGCAAAACTGTGTAGAAAGTACCTTAAAATTGTGGGGGTTGGAGTATTTCCTAACTGACCTGTGGCATGAGGATGACAGAGAAAATAAAGTCCTGTTTAGCAAATCTAACTTCTCCTAAAAATTCAGGCTCCATCCTTCCAGCTGGGAACAAGATAATATAATGGGTTGTTACAAGCTGTTAAAATTTGAGACCAAGGAGGGGGAAATAGGCTGAAGTTATTCCATGAATTGTTCCATTCTTTGTGAGAGGCTGTTAAAATAAAGCAACAATATAAAAGATGAGTTATATACAATTTAATGTAAAGCTGTTTGATGTCATTATGATATTTCTTCCTTGATTGTCTAACATTTGTGTACTTCTAAAAAGTTTTACATTTTTTGGTTCTTTCTGAACATTATGAAAATTGTACTGAGAGGAGTAAATTCATCTGCATAAAATTGACTGCAAAGAGCAATTAGTCCTTCATTAATATGCAAATTTGGTCCAGTGCAAATTCATCTATATATGAGGCTTAAATATGCAAGTCAGTCTTGCTGTGCGAGAAGCCCAGATGCTTTTATTTACTTTGAAATTGAGGGATTTGGTTAATGATGTTGTTGACAGGAAAACTTGAATAAATTTGATGATCACCATCTTTCATATTAGATGAGACCCACGGAAAAAAAATTACCAAGTAAAATACCAATTTTATTTGGTGATTTCCTATTACCAATCTAGTAATAAAATGTAAGATACAAAGTAATAGAGTTAAATTTCCTAACGTAGTTATCCTGAGACTTAAACTGTTCCCCAAAGATAGAACCATTTTTCTTAAACTTTGTTTTCCAGAGGGTAAAGACATCTACATAAGCTGTATGAATAATATACTGCCTAGAGATTTAATATTGGAAAGTTAGCTCTGTTGCTTGTTTCATTTGGAGAGAGTATATACGCCTGGGAATTAAAAAACAGGAGCTTTGGAAATGGCTGTCATCATCATTTTCCATTAATTATCTGTAGAGTCTTCTCAAGACTTTAGTGTTAAGGCTTTTTCTGAACTTGTGGAGCCGGACTGGAAGCTGTCTGAACACATGGTCATTTATATTTGGATCACCTAAGTTAAGTAATAAACATTTTCTTAAATATCTTTAAATCTTTCCATCCCTCAGTAACACAACTTTCTTACTGCTGTCACCCAACATAGATTGGCTGGTCTTGCCTCTTTCCTTCTCTCTGTGCTTCTGCCCCACGTACCATGGTTCTTTTGGCACATCCAGGATTTCCCTGGTTTTGCCCATTGATGCCACAGCAGCTGTTACTTAGTTGTGTGTGGGTAGGGTTGCCTTTGCATTTATTAGTCTTGTTTCATCTGCATGGAGAGGGTGTCAGATGTTATTCCTCCTGGTGTTTCTTCCTTTTTCTTTCTCTGTAGTTCACTCAAACCTTAATTTAGTTTTGGCTTAAACAACCTGGTCTTTGACTTCTGCTGTGCAGTCTTTATCCTGGACTCAATTTGGTTTTCTCTGTCACCTGTGACACTTTCAAAATAGAAGGGGTATGTAGTTTAAATGGACTGAACTCTATGGCAATTTATAAAGCTCTTGTAACTGCCCAAGGACAAGTTAATAGATTATGCTGTTTGATTCCTCTGACTTCTTGGCACAGCTGTTTGGGGTATAAATCCTCACAGTGGTGAACATTTAGTTTCCAAATATTTAATGTGCTGTGCTAGGCAAAAAGCTTATAGGACAATGTTAAGGAAAAAAGAAAATCTAATGAGACGCTAAAATTGATGTGCTTGCTCACTACATGGTGCAGTCTTGCAGGTGAGTCCAAAAGCAGGAAAATAGAAACAGATTTGAATATTTGGGAGGAGAAGGGGAGGAGTCTGTTAGTCTTGTAAAGGGTCTGGTTATTGTTCAAAGGAATCTCCTTTCTTACACTGAAATAAGGCATTGACAGCTGTCGGAAGGCATGGTATAGAGGATATACTTCCAGTACTTAATACTTTAGGAGGTGAAAGTTCAAAACCACAACATCTTCTGAGACTTAAATAGTCTTTGCCTTTGAGAACACATAATAGCTGGACAGTTTCTAGTATTGTTCAGTGCCATCCACAGTGTTCTTGGTTTTCTGATCTAGCTCCCAAAAGAAGGAAAATATTCATTTTCAAATATATGAACAGTAGGCATCTCAGCACAACCTGAGGTTGTCTCCTATCAACTATATAATCTTTATATTCTAGATTAATAAACACTTCAGCCTTGGAGTTTATTAGTCCAAAATATATTTATTACCTTATAAATTCAAACCCCCTCCAGTTATCATCTAATTAAATTGCAACACTGTGCATGCTATCTTTGGGGATGTATTAATAATGAAATTATCTTGTGAAACAGTAATTACATGCTTTGTGCATTCTTTTCCATACTTTTTTTTTTCAGTGTCTATGTGATGATTGGGGCACACAGTACTCCATTGTTCTGAGCTCCTCCAAACTCCATACTTATCCAAGGATAAGCAGGCTTATTTTTTTCCTCTTGGAAAAAGAGAGAAAAGTTTGTGCGTTTTTGTACTTGGGAAGGGGAAGGACCAATATCGCTAGGCTAGGAACAGTTATGAAGCATGATTGTGCAAGTAATTCTATATCATGTTTTCTCCTCGCTCTTTGACTTTACTCACAGGAATAAAAACTACTTGCAGGATCTTTTCTGTAAGGCAGTTCTTACTGTAGTTGCCAAAAGTGAAGATGACCACTTTATTTGCAAGAGAATATTCATTTATAGGCCTTCACTGGTGACGTAGAATTGAATAAAAGGAAAATAGTCTTAAAGCCTTCCTCAGGAGAGAGATTTACTTGCAATTTTTTCAGTGGTGAGTGTACTTACTATGTTCTAATTTGTATATGTATTGGCCCTATGGGTGCTTGTGCTTTATCAAGGTTGTCTTCCATCTTCTCCTAATACACTGGGTGATTGTGTATTGATAAGATTTCTTTAGCTCGTTTTTTTTCCTGACTTTACAGAACAAGGTATTCAGAATCCTGGCTAGCATGCACTTGCCCAACAATGAAAGAGGCACAAGTGACAAAATGGTTTGCACATAACTTCCATGTATTTTTAAGTAGTTTATCTCTGTAGTTCAAGTACATGTGTTGAGCAATAATCTGAGCATGTGATTCTTGTTGCCATGGGCTCCTGCTCTACCTGACAGAAGTGGAGTTTCATTCTCTGTTATACTTCCAGATGCTGTAATCCAGAGGCTTGTGTTTTCAGCATCCATGTGTTGGTGGAACATATTATATAGTTGATTTTATATATATATATATATAGATAGAAGATTACATAGTTGATAAGAGACAACTTCAGGTTGTACTGAGATGCATGCTGTTTATATATTTGAAAATTAATATTTTCCTTCTTTTGGGAGCTAGATCAGAAAGCCAAGATCACTGTGGATGGCACTGAACAATACTGGAAACTGTCCATATCAGCATGGCAGATGATATGTCTGCCATGTCATCTTGTCATTTGTATGGCCTTTTGGTTGTTTTGCTGCAATTACTGTGGCTATGCAGGTGTTTGCATTTAGAGGAAGGGCACTTTCCATCAGTTTCTTCACTGAATCTTTTAGGTCTTTCTGGCACAAGAGGTGTTTTGCCTTGTCCCTAGTTTTCTATCTACAAGTTCTACAAGCACTGCAGCCTTATTGAAAAGTTATACCTTTGTGAAATGTGCTAATCCTCAGACTATATCCAGAACTCAACAAAAATCAGTTAACCTTCCAGAAAGTTCTTTATTTAAAGAAGACCTTTTTTGACTGTGTTAAAACTCTTGATATGTGGACAAATAGAACCATTTTATACTGGTCAGATCATAGAATTCTGTAGGTATTTTGTAATTTTATATTAAGTAGGGATCATTCACTTCATACAAAGGGTTTTGATTCAACTTGCAGCTAGAACTCCACTCCTACGCTGCACGTGCAACTTAATGCTTTACTTGTGTTTTGCATTCATTCTGGTGAAGGTTTTCAAGCCTTCTGTGTTTGTACTCTTCTATTTCACTGCAGAGTCCCACAAGACTTCTGCAAACAGAAAGGCCCCCTATGCTGCCCCACTAAATTGTTTGTCATTGATATTTAATTTGCAGATTTTAAAATGAGACACCATTATAATGTTGGGTTTCTTTTTCCTGATGTGAATAAGTTCAATACAGAGTACTTGCAGAGATATATGTTGTCAAGCAATTGTATCAGGTGAAACGTATTGGGTTTCTTTTTCTTTTTCTCATCCCCCCACCCCCTGTATTTTGCAGTAATTGTTTTGAGTCTCTAAGTTCTCATTTTATGGAAAACATTATGGCTGAAGGTATAAAGAAGATAACATTAAGGATTTTGCTCACTTATGATGATTACTCTGGAAACAAACGCAACTCAGGAGACAAATGTTATGAGCTACCTGTAAGTTCTGGTCCACAGAACAGGTAAGGAGCCAGGGATACTTCTGAACTTGCAAATGAAATTTATCCTCAATGTAACGGTTGAGCTCGTTGTCTGCTGCTCTTTCTAAACGTGAAGTAAGGAATGAAATGCTCATATATTCTATATAGAACAGCTGACATGTTTTATGCATTCCTGTGTTTGCCTAAAAAGTCATGGATAATCAACTTAATTTGATGTGCAAAATACAATGCATGGATGAATTCTGATACATATCCCTCACCATGTCTGCGCTGTTACGAGAGGCAAAAACTTCCAGAAAAGAAACAGCAATGAAAACCTTCCTGATAGTTTTCTCATAATTTTTTCTCCAAGGACATACCTGTAGGTGGGTTCTCCAGTGTTTGTTTTTTTACCAACCCTGAATGGCTGTTCTGTATGTGTCAGTTATTTTCTCGTGGTCTGTCTTCCCCTATTAGAAATCAAACCTACCTTATCACTTCAGATGTTTAGTCTCTATAATCTGAACTAGGAAACACTGACACATTTCCCTTTTAGACTTTTTAGTAATTTCAATGTATGTTTAAAATATTTTTTTTAACCCCCATGTTATTGCTGTTGTGAAGCAGAACAGGCAGGAACCAGTAGCAGAGACAGATGTGACTGTAACAGAGGTTAGCATTTTATAAGTAATACCCTGGGTGTAATGAGACTTCTGGTCTTAATTAACTCTTCAAATGTTTTTAACACAACTGTAGTAAATAAGTTTAAAATCTAATGTACTTGCACTAACCCTATCAGTTTACTTTTTGCCTTGCTTATTTTGGATGACAAAGCCCCAGATTTGTCTTATTTTTAGAGAATTTCTCACAGAATAGAGTATATATAGTTCTAGCAAAAAGGGAAATTTGTATGGGCAAAAAGGATGAGTGATAATCCTGATGAGGTGGGGGTGTGTGGAAAATCAGCCTGTGAGGTTAGATTTAGTTCTATATTAGTCTATTCCTGCCTTGGAAATCCATACTTTTGCCAGAATATCCACCAGCATTAGGTAGACTGACAATTGGTCATAGGATTTCATATCCTTTTGGTTGTTGTGTGTAGTTGGTGTATCCTTTTGCTGGAAAGAAACAGCTGGATATTTTCTGTCATAATGTGACCAATCCACCTCTGTTGTTGTCATTTTAATTGCTGTGGCTGTTATTTTAAGTCCTCTACAGAAGGTCTTTGTAGTGACAAGCGAACAGTTTACGCTTCATAAGCAAACATAAAGAATGCTGCTGCTAATTGGAGAGGGTGTAATGCAGTTATGATTCCAGCAACATTTAAGTTACAGTGTTAAAGGACATGGTTTTACTTGTGTTTATGTTGCACATAAAATTTTACTCAGGGTGAATTTGGTGGGGAAGATTTTATAACAGGAAAGACTAATTCCAGGATTAGGGGGAAGGGAGGGAGAGAGAGAAGTTTAATTTTTCTAGCCCGCATATACAGTATTAAAGATCAGCATTTTATTACTCTTTCTGTTTATTGTAACTGTTAATTGCTGGCTTGTGGAATAACTTAGCAATGAAAATGAAAGGACTGTCACAGCCTCAGAAAAGCTCACTTTTCCCCTCCCTGAATAACTGTAGCCACAGTGTTTCATGTTGAAGAGGACTCTTCCAGAGTCACCAGTTTCCCAAAGGAGGTTGTTAGTCATTTAGTCTTTGGTTTTTTTTTTCCTAGATATTCTGCATGTGGTAGCTGCAGATCTCCCATCTTCTAGAAGTTTGAAGAACCTTGTTTTAAACCTTCCTTTTTTTTTCCTAAATTACATCTCCATGGAATACTTGACTGTGGATTAATAGTTTTACAGTTATATAGAATCATAGAATAGTTAGGGTTGGAAAAGACCTTAAGATCATCCAGTCCAACCCTGCCTGCCATGGGCAGGGACACCTCACACCAAATCACATCATCCAACACTGTCCACCCTGGCCATGAGCACTGCCAGGGGTGGAGCATTCACAACTTCCTTGGGCAACAGGCCCAAGATAATTTCCTCTTCATGCTTTTCTTTTGTTTGTTTGTTTGTTTGGGGTTTTGTGTTTTTTGTGGGTTTTTTGTGGATTTGTTTGTTTGGGTTTTGGTTTTGTTTTGTTTTTTTTCCACTTACATCTCTCTTCTGAGGCGACAAAATGTGTGGAACCTCATTTTGAATAGTCTTGGGAGGGCTAAATGTGCTTCCTTTTCCAGTTTGCTTGCTAGCTTGTTGGGTTTTAAAAGATACAATTTTTTAGCATCTAAACAGGAAGCCACAGCTATTTACATGAGAAGAATCAGAGACATGACAGGGCTTCCCCCCCAAACATTCTCTATGTAATTGCTGAAGGCATTCCAAGCCACTCTAAGGGAGTGTACTGTCTGCCAGTCATTATGCTCTGCTTGGAAGACCATCTGTTGCACTTCAAACATGTAAAGGTCTGCTATCATTTTTTGCACCAAACAAATCAGTTTCTTTGTCTGACATGCTGTAGCTCTTCAATGTGGAGTAAAGGTAGTTTCAATTGCAAAGTGCAGAATATTCTGTTTTGTTACACTATAATAGAAAGGCATTAATCTCAGATTTTGGAAGACAAACATACTGATTAAACTAATTACAATGCCTTTCAATAATTTCAATTTATTTGGCAACAAATTGTTAACAACACAAAATCTGAAATATATTTTCTCTTAACTCAGCCAGAAGCACATTGTAAGATTTTTGCTTTTGGTGAACGAACCTTTCCACTGTAGGGGTATCCAGATTTAATAGATACTGACATCTGAATTAAATTACCTTATTTTAACTGAATTTCTTAACTAGCTTATTTTTATCTGAAACTAGTAACTCAAAGAAACTTTCAGTGGTAAACATAGAGACAGCAGCTAGAAATTCTAGAACCTGTGTCATGCTAAGCATACGTCCTTTATGACGATGTAATACTTGGTTTTACAGTCTCTATTTACATGGGTTAACGAGAATCCCGTCCATGAGTAAAAGGTATTAAACAATGATTTGTTTTGTTTTTTTCCTGCTGCAGATTTAAAGAGTATGTATGGTCATTAATCTCAGATTGGAGAAAATAAGCATTCTGTTTTCCCAGCAGCAAAGTTCTGTGCAGAGATTTCCAACCAGGGAAATACATAACAATTTCTGTCTGATCAGGGAGTGGTCTTATCTTTTCTCTCTCTCTTCTCCATACTGCATAGCAGCTAATGTTCTGGCCAGAAGTATTAATATGTTAGATCTTGAATGTCAGTGGCCCCCAAGATTCTGACAAGACTATTCATGTGCATTCATACGTCTTAATCAAAGCTGACACTAAAGAGAGCAAGAATTCTTATATTCCTCTTTTTATTGCCGTGCATTAAACTCACATCTTCTCTTGGAGACCTCTGCTAAAAATGACATATTCACCATCTGAAAAAAGCATTCTTGCAAAATCTAAACAAAGCAGCTGAAGATCGGTATGGCACAGAGCAGAGTCTCCTGTGGAAGCTCCCAGTGCAAATCCAAACTACACCACAATTATAGACACCTTACAAATGCTGTAAGATAAATACTAATGGGAAATAAGTGGTCCCCCAGTCTCATCTCCCATGGGGGCTTTGCTGTTGTCATTTTTAATTACAAAGTAAGTGGTCTCCTAATTTCTTGAAACTATATGGAATGTCCTCATAGGAATGCTTGGATTCCAGTGACTTGAACTCATTGTTTTCTGAGAAACACACACTGCGTAAATATACTGCTGTACCGTCTATTCTGGACATATTTCCATACATACTTGCAGTATGGAGCACAGTACACGTGTGGTTAACTTTGCAGTGATCTGATTGTATTGTTAAAGTCAGACATTTCTTTATAGCTATGGCATTCTAAATCTTCTTTTTGAAACTGGTAGCAGTGAGCAATGCTGACTAGGTGGCTCTGGGCATCTAGCCATTTTTAGGTAGTGTAATTTGTTAAAAATTATCTTTCTTCCCACCCAAATCCCCTTGAAACCATTTGGAGAAGAGAACTGTTGAACAGTTGCCAATAGTAAGTCCTGCTGAGACCTCTGTATCCTCCTGACAGAACTGTCGGTGCCAACTGGAGACTGACTGGCATAGGTTTGAACTCTCTACTACTTGATATATTTGCTTCACATGGACCAATTACAATAATTACCACCTCTGTAGCTGGAGTTTAAGCATTCAGTCCGCACTTCCTACCTCAGGTTGTTGGCAATATGTTCAGTCCTGTAATCTCAATTTTCTTTGAACTAATTAAGTAGAAAATAAAGACTTTGGAAAATGAGGAGAGTCTGAATGGCAATCAAAGGCTAAATAATGTCACTGTTTTTCATGTTGCTATTGCTCTTCAGCTGCGTTTCTTTCATTTTAGTCTTTACTTCTAAAAGGTAGCATCTTCTTTTAAGTTTGTCCACAGAGGTTTACTGGGAGATGCAATAGTGGAGTATCTTTTAGCATGAAAGAACAAGCGTTATCAAGTCCTACCTCTTGTTTTGATATTTTTCAAAACAGAATTGTTCCTTTCCAGATAAATACTTTTGACTAAAGGGGAAAATCATCCATACATCCCTTACTACTTTTGGCTAGATGTTTCAATGCAACTATGAGAGAGAGTACGATAGAACATTAATGGCCCAGTTCCTAAGGAGTCTGTTTAATTTGATGCAACAGGGATCATCTCACCCCTGCCCCCACTACTGCTGTACTTCCAAGAGAGCAGTTAATTTTTAAATGGGATCAATAGCACTTTTTTTAAACTGGTGAAGTTTATATTAGAGAAGGATGACAGTGAGATTGAGCACAAACTCACTGACTGTGTCTTTCCTAATATGAATGCATTGTGCAGTGTATATACTGAAATTCATATTAAAATTTCTTCATGAGGTTCCCTCTAGGGAAAGGAAGAGAGAAGGAAAAGGCTACATGTGACAGATGCTAATTATGCAGCTTAATGCACTTCTGGAACTTGCAGAGATGAGAACTACATAAGAACCTATCTAAAAAATAGAAAGCATATTTTCAAGAGCATTTTTTTCCACCTTTTTTTATCTGCCTCCTCCCCACTTTTTAAGGAGGCTTTATTTCCCAAGTAGCATGTAGAGTTTGCAAAGGGCAACAAGTTATGTATCGGGTCCAATACAAGATACTATTGTATATGAAATGAAAGGGAATGACTCTTAAAAATCTCTAGTTCATGTGTTGGTTTTCTTTCCTCTTTTGTCAATATTTTATTCTTTATCCCATGTTTATGTTTACAGGAAAAATCATGTTCTGCACTTGTCTGTGCTGGGATCCTATATAAGTGTTTATGATGACTAATATGTAAGTACTAATGAAGCGGATCTCAAACTGTATTTTACAGATAAGTAAACTGAGACACAGAAGCCGGGTTCCTCCAAGCTGTGAAGTGAATCGATGCCAAGCCCAGCGTTAGACACTAGATTAATCCTTTCTTCCAGAAGTCGAGCTGTGCGGTTTCAGGCCAAAGAAATGGATTCTCAGTGAGTGAAGATTTGGTGTCATCCTGAAATCAATGGGGAAATGCAAGGGTACATTTGCTGTGCATCAAGCCCACCCTGTTTTGTTGCATGGGATTTCTGCTCCCTCTCCCAAATCTGTTTTACCAAAGGATAATTTTTCCTCTAGAGGGAAAACCATACCAGCTCTTGTGCACTAATGCCAAGCGCTGCTTTCTTTTATTTCCTTTGAAGCACTGGATTTCTCCTTCAGGAGGTGGTGTGACTTAATGTCGTCTCCCTGCGCAGCGAGGTAACTGCTCTAGTGACCAAAGCAGTGTGCTGAAACTTGGGAGGGCCTTGGTGTGCCCCTCGACACCCCTGGCAGCATGGGGTGAATTCTCCTCGCACCGCAGTCCTCGTCTGCAGTCGCCACAGAGAAAACCATCTGTTCCACTTGGAAAGGGGTTGGGTTCCACACGCCCTCCCCCCCGCATCCCGGCTCCAGCCCCAGCTGCCGTGTTTCGATGAGCACTGAGGGGATGAGTCTCCTGTGTTAAAAATACTCTGGTTCTATTTGGATAAAAAGAAGAATCTTCCTTGCCTACACTGCCACACAAAAATAGTCTTAGTGTGAGTAAATCTTCAAAGTTCCTCTTGGTGAAAATATCTAGCCTTGCTTTTTTTTCTTTAACTTCTCATATAAATTTATTTATAGAATGCCCTTCTTTCCTCCTACTCTACTGCAGAAGGTTGCCACTCGTCTCGTTCATGAGTCCTGAAATAAGTTGCAGGGCCTTTGAAACATCATCATGTTGCATAGTTGTGATGCAATGTGCTGCTGTTGCATGAATGTATCATATTTTAATGTGAATGTCATGTTAGCTGGGACATTCACGTCTACCTTTACTTTAGGCATTTTACACTGGTTTGTATTTTCACTTTAACTTTGCAGTCAAAAAATTCTGTATGTAGTAACTTAAAATTTCACATTCTACATAGAAAAATAGTATGTAATGAGAAGATTAGCAAGATGCAAATACTTCCAAATATCTCTTAAAAATAGCTTTCGCTGTCACTGTAGCATCTTAATTCTGAATAATTTCAAAGTCCTTCTGCAAATCTCTGCATAGTAACAGAGAAACCACCTACTTCATCCTCATAAACTGTACGCTATGTATCTGTGCATGAAAAAAAGATGGAATTTCGGCATACAGTTCTGCTCCAACACATACAATGTCAGTGGGACTAGTGAAAGCATTAATGCTTACATTAAATATTAGTGCAAGCCTTCCAAACGCTTGTATATCTTTTATTTAAAAAGGCTCTGAGAGCTATAGGATGGAATTTTGCTCCACGGATCCGGGGAAAACTCTGCCAAAGGGTGAAGTTTGCACTGGGGGTGCCAGGGTCAGTGCTTTACTGGTGGGGAGATGGGACAGGCTGTGCCCCGATTCTGACCGGCCGACGTGGAGGCATGGGAAACATGCCCCGGGACGATGCTCAATCCGGGGGCCGACAGGGCCCACCGCCCCGGGGCCTGGCGGGGAGGCAGGACTCGAACCCGCGTCCCCAGCGCCTCTGCGCACAAACCTCGACACGGCCGCTAGATGGCGGCCTCCCAACGAGCAACGCGCGCGGTTACCGGGCGCGGAGGGCGCTCCTGGCGGGCGCGCAGCGTCACTGCACCCTCCTTCCCCCAGCGGCGACGGCGGCCATCGCTGTGCAGCCCCACGTGACGGCGCGTCCGCCAATGAGAGCGCGGCAGGGGGGCCCCGACTCTCGTCCCTGTGGCCGCCATTAAAGAAAAAGGGTCTCGGAATTAAACGGCGGAAGAATCCCCCCCCCGCCTCCCCGCGACGCGACATGGGGGAGACGCGCTGAGGGGGAGCCGGGATGCCGCGGCCGGGCAGCCGCCGACAGAGGCACCGCTGAGGGGAAGCGAGGAGGAGGAGGAGACCCGCCGGCGGGGGCTTCGGGGCACCGACTCCGCCGCCAGCAGCAGCAGCAGCAGCAACGGCCGCCGCGTCCCTGTGTCTCGGCACACGGCGGGGCCGGGAATTGTGGCGTTCTGACCCCCTTCCCCCGCGGCCCTTCCGGCTGAGGAGAGCCCCGGGCTCGGCCGCCGCCGCCTCCCCGCCCTCACGAGAAGACCTCGGGGAGGGGGCCCTCCGCCCACTGCCCCCGCGGGGCCGCCGCAGCGGGGCGGCGCGGAGCCTTCCCGCAGCAGCCGCCGGCTCGACGGGCTCCCGGAGCCCCCTCACCTGAGGAGAGACGGGGCCGCCGCCCCGACGGGAGGGTCTCGGGGCTCGCTCCTCTCCCCCCCCCCCTCCCCGCGGAAGACATCGCTCCGCTTGAAGACTATCGTTTTGTATTTTTATCCCCCCCTCCCCCCTTTCTTTGCCGGTTTTGTTTTTTAAAGGGAAAACATTCATTTTTTGTAAGGGACCAGCCCAGCTGCGAGGCCGGTCCCTCCCCGCCTCGCCTCCCCCCACCCGCTCGCAGGGGTCTTGCGGGGTTTAGGCGCGGTGGAGGGGGCCCTCCCTGCCCCGGAACCCCCCTTCCTCCGGCGCTCGGCGAGAACTTGGCGGGGTCCGGGCTCCCCTGAAGAGACCCACCCAGCCCGGTGGACTCCGTGGGGCTCCCTCGGCCCCGAAGGACAGCTGGGGGGTGGGGGGGGCGAGCTTCCCTGAAGACACTCTGCGCTTTACCCCTGCCTTCTCTTCCGAAGAGACTGGGGATCGGCCTCCGGGAGACTCCTCCATCCTTCCCCGAAGAGACTTCGAGGGTCACCCGCAATTTCCTCCTTCCACCCCTCTCCCCCTTCTTCCATTCCCCACGGAAAGATTTTTTTACCCAGCAGAGGATATTTTGGTTTCGCCCTCTCTGCCAGGACTATTTCGTTTTGGGGAGGGGGGGGTTTCCACGGGGGAATTTAATCCCCCGCTGGGCTGCTAAGGAGACTTTTGCGGCCTTTCTCTCTCAAGGAACACCTTCCCCCCTTCGCCTGTCCCCGCAGATGTGTTTTTGGGGTATACCCCAGGACATTTTTCGTGTCCTGCTTTTATGAATTCTCCAGACTCGCCCTCTGGCATCTGAAGTTTGGGTTTATGAGATTAAATTTTAATTTATTCGGAATATTTTTGGAGCAGGGGAGAAGAATCTGACCCCCCCACACACACCCTGTTGCCCTCGGACTCCGAAGAGACGAGCCTGGATTTTTCTCTCTCTCCCACAGCCAATCCTTCCCAGTCATTCCACAATTTGCCCCTTTTCTCGTCTGATGACTAAAGAAACAGGAGGAAGAGGAGGGAGGTTTCTGGATTAATTACCCCCACTGGATTATTTATTTTGTTCCCTACTACTCTTGCTTGGCATCTGAGAAGAGAGGAAGGAGGGATGTCAACTGATTTTTACCCCTAGCCCCCCTGGATTAATTACCCCGGTTTTATTCTCCTGTTGGATCAATTACCCCTTCACCTTACCTCCTCTCCCTCTCCTCCTTATGCGAATGAGAAGACAAGAGGAACAGGGAGGATTTTGATCTTAATCTCCCGTCGTTGGATTACTTACCACCTCCCTCTTTCTGTTCTCCCCTTCCACGGTGGTTTTACCCCCCACCCCGCGTTTGCTATCCATAAGGAGAGAAAACGTTCCGAGTTTCTCTCTATTTTTTTTTAATTATTCTTATTTTTAAATCTGTTTTTTACCCCCTCTCCGGTACCGCTCTCCTCCCGGGTTATTTATCCTGCCACTATTTCGCGTGCCTGTGTGTCCCTATGTAAATCCCTTATTTAATTGTATTATTATTTGTGCGTGTGCAGAGTCCCCCCTCCCCCCTTTCCCTCTCGGTGTCTGTCTCCCTCTCTCTGTCTGTCTCTTTCTTTCTTGTCGGAGGCTGTGGGATAATGGCGTGTGGGTTGTGGCTGTGAGGATGAGTTCCTGCTTCGTGCCGAACGGGGCCAGCCTGGAGGATTGCCATTCCAACCTCTTCTGCCTGGTAAGTGCGGCCACCGGCACACACACACATACGGATAGACACGGGGTGGGAGAGAGAGGAGGTTTGGGGGAGGGGAAGAAGGGGTAGTGGAAGCAAAGCAGCCATTTTTAGCATAGCTTCTGTTGGATGAGTCCTCAGAGTAGGCCCTGCCTGGAGCCAGCCAACTCTCCCATGCCCCTCTGGTTCCCCCTCCATCGCTGTCTGTCTCGCCTTGCCCCTCCCTCCGGTTTCTTCCTGGAGAGTATCCTCCCTGCAACTCGCCTTTTCCCTTTCCTCGCCTGCAACTTTTCCTCCTTTCTCCCCATCTTCCTACCTCTGCTTCTGAACCAGCTGTTTCTCGCAGGAGGTAAGGAGATCTGAGCCTTCTCCTTTCAGCCCCACGTCTCGGGGAACTTTCTCTTTCATGTTCCCACTCGTGACATCCCGGAGAAATTGATCCGAAACCTCCGTTCTTCCTTGCTTTCAAAGTGATCTCTTTTGCTGCTTGTTGTTGTTCTGGAGCTTTGCTTTTGGTGATGCTCCCAGTGAAGCAGTGGTGTCTTATGTTTTGTTGTGCACCATTTTGTAGTCTTTTTTTTCTCTTTAACCCAAGTATGAAATCGTTCACATTGTTGATTTTGGTAGCCCCCAAAGTAAATTTGATGTAACTGGGCTGTGATGCAATTTCTGGTGGCTGTGCAGAGCTGTTTCATCTGCTTTTCAATGCAAATTAGCTGATCTTAGCTGACTGGCTGGTATTTGTTATTCTGGGGGTTGTTATAAGTAAAAACCTGAGCCAAGCTGTGGTACTAATATTTTCGGGTTGAGGGGAACCTGGACAGCCTGAACATGTCTGCAGCCTGCACCAGGCCTGCGGCTCCATATTAGTAGTACATTTTTAAGTCTTGGAGTCTTTTTAAAGTATCAACTGTTACAGACTACCTTTGGTATAAATTGCTTCTTCTCCTGAAGACAGGAAGGCTGCCATGTTAGGTTTAAATGTTGCAGCAATGTTTTTGTGTGTTGTCATATTGGGAAGAAAAAAATAGTGACTTCTTGGAACAAGGTAGGCTGGCATTTGCTCCCTTCACATAAAGAACCCGGGGGGCAGTGCCCTCCCCTACATGCCTCAAGGTGACTGTCCTCATGTGAAAAAGCTTAGTGTAAAACTTCATGAGGTATTGCATTGTGGATACACCAGGAATTGTCTATTTCCTGTTACATATAGTAGTAACTCACTTTATAAAGTCAAAAGAATTTTTGCCTAGAAGAGGATTTAGTAGATCATAATCAATGTGGACACAAGCCTGATATGTAATTTAATGGTAAAACCAAGATTTAAATTCATAAAATGCGGTGTGAGGAATGAAAGTGTGATAGCTTTTGGTAAAATAAGTGTACCTGTGTGAGATACAGCGAGTTTTTACAATGAAGAAACTTGTGCTGTCTTCCAAAGTAGTACATGACTGGAAGAATGTATGCTTGAGTTAGATTTACTTTATTATCTATTTCCCTAGAGTAATCTTGGGTTGAAAAGCTGGTGTATGCATAAGTGAGCAAAAAGAAAGGCGCTCTTTGCTAAGAGACGTGTTTAGTAGATTGGACAGTTGCAGTCTGCAAATAAATACATTATTCACTCATCTTTCACTTTTTTATTTTAAATCAAGTCAGACTTTTCTCTCTATAATCTTAATGCTGCTTTGCTTTAAACAGCTCTTGCTTTATTGCAGTTATTGAAGGATCTTTTAAAACAGGGAGCCTGATTATTTAGAGTTTTATCTTGTAAGGTACACAACAAGTATGGTTTCTGTTAAAAATTTTACTGTATTAA